TCACAGCTCTTCAGGGTCGCGTCGTCTACTGTGAGCAGCACAGAGACGACGCGGTGTCACAGCTCTTCAGGGTCGTCCGGAGACGATGTAGTGTTACATCTCTTCAGGGTCTCCCAGGTCGTCTGGAGACGATGCAATATCAGCTCTTCAGGATCTTCAGGGTTGTCTGGAGACTGCGCGGTGTTTCAACTCTTCTGGCTCTTCAGTTGTCCTCTTCCTGGTCATCGTCTGGCTACTGTGGGCCAGGCATCCTGGTTATATACACTCTGGTGGGTTGTAAACGGTGGGCCGTGATTGGTTGCCTTTGGACCAATCATGAGGTGCTGGATATGCAAATTTGAGGGATTCTAGTGGCCAATCAGAGCAAGGTTTCAAAGGTCAGGTTTTTGGAAGGGAACCAATCATGGTAATTGTTTGCTCTCTGAGAAACCTCAGCAGACTGGCTGGTACGCAGCTTCCCACAACCAGGCCCAAGATTCAAACTGCAGTCAACTATGTGTCTAGCACCTTAACCACCAGGTCACTGGCCAGCCTCTAGGATTTCTTTGATTCAGAGACTTTTTTTTTTTTTTGCTATAGGGCACAAACACTTGCTGGAGAGAGACAATGACAGAGAGAGGAAAATGAGAAATCAAAATCACACACACACACACACACACACACACACACACACGGGAGAATGACCACACCAAAATCCCTTCTCTTCCATTCTCCTCTTGAGATTTTGGGCACAACTGGTGTGATTTTCAAGCTACTGGCCCAGGACTCCAATCCAAATTGGCTGTATGGGATACAACCACCTTAACCTCTCTACCACCTGCTAGCCCTGATATACAGACATGATGATTTATTGAGGCCAACAGGTGACAGAGAGGTTAAAGCACTGGATCCCACACAGCTGACTGTAGTTCAAGTCCTGGATCTGGTGGCTTGAGGATCACATCAGGCGCATGTGTGTGCATGTTTAAAATCCCAGGAAAAGGGATTGCAGCATGGCCATCACCCCTGGGGTTCTTACTTTCCCTCTCTTTGTCTCTCTAGGGCTGGATCCCATATGGCCAACATGCAGTTCAAGTCCCAGACTGGTGGCTTGAAAAATACACCAGGTACGTGTGCACACATGCCCAAAGTCTCGAGAGAAAAATAAAGAACAAAATAATAGTAAATTAGATTAAATTAAAAATTTTTTTAAAAAGGGGGGAGAGTAGTGAGTGGCATGATAGTTGGGGTGCTGAATTCCCACATGGCCTACCACAGTTCAAGTTCCAGACCTGGTGACTTGCTTTCTCACTTTCTCTGTTTCTCTTTCACATGTGTGCATACATGCCCTATAGCAAATTAAAATAATTAAATAAATAAATAAAATTAATAATTCTTTTAAAAAGAGGAATGAAGGACAAGGGGTTGGAAAGCCAATGGGTACTTTCTCACTTTTCCTTTTTCTGTCTCTCTCCAGCAAGCGTGTTCCCTAGAGCAAATTAACAAAGAAATGAAAAGTAAGATATTTGTTAATTTCTAAGAATTTTATTTCATTTTTTACATTTTATTATATGCTTAGAATTGTGCTGAGTTGTGATCAAATCATGTTCTATGATACCTCTATTCAGTTTGTATGATTATTTTGTGGTCCAATACATGATCATTTTTCATGTGTAATCTATGGGTTTAAATAGATGCAAAATTCTCTCTGCACATAACTGTCAAATAATTAGCTGTTTGTATTAGTCAACTGTTTTATTCCCACACTCGTTTTTTTTCTTTCTAAGAATTAATTTTTGGGACCAGCAGGTGGCATAATGGTCACGTAGCTGGACTCAACCGCAGAACGAGTCCAGGACGAGCCTTAAAACTCAGGCTGGGCCCAAGTGAGAGCCTGCCCAAGATCCTGGGGAGAGGATGGAGAAGGGATTGCAGTGAAAGGGGGAGGGTGATTTCTCCCTTTCTCTCTCTCTCTGTCTTTATGTCTCTCCAGCGAGTGCACTCACCTTATAGTTAAAATCTCTCTGGGGCGGCAGGTGGCGTGGTGGTTAAGGGCGCTGGACTCCCACTTGGCTGATCACAGTTTGAGTCCTGGACCTGGCAGCTTGCTTTCTTACTTTCTCTTTGTCTCTCGCTGGTCAAATTAAGAAATAATAACAAATGGAATTAAAGAAATAAATATGTTTTTTTGGGACCAGCAGTTAGCGTAATGGCTATGTCGCTGGACTCCCACGTAGTCGACCACGGTTCGAGTCCCGGACCCGGCGGCTTAAACTCATGCCGTGTACGTGTGTGCCAAAGATCCCGAGAGGAGAATGGAGAAGGGATTGCGGTGTGACCACCACCCCTGGGGGGGTGATTTCTCGCTTTCTGTCTCTGTCTCTCTCTGTCTGGCCAGCGCACACGCCCTATAGCAAAAACCTCTCAAAAAATATGTTTTTTAAAATCTCTCTCTAAAAAAAGTTTTTAAAATAATTATTTTATTTGTTAGCAGTAGTTTTAAATTTGCTATAGGGCACATGAGCTCACCGGAGAGGGATAGGAAACAGCAAGCTGCCCGGCCCGAACCTGAACCGAGGTCCGCCACCTAGGAGTCCACCACCACACCTGGTTTTTCTGTCTGCAACTGTGCCCACTTCCCGAGAGGTTGCACATTGGCGTGACTGAGGCCAGGGCTCCACCGCACCGCCTGGTACAAGAGGAGGGTGTAGGTCCCGCAGGCGGAGAGGGAGGAAGCTAGGTTGGGGCCAGTCGGTTGCCAGGAAGCGGGACCGGGACACAATAGGGTCTAGGAGTTGGGCGGGGCAGGGCGGTGGGGGAAGGACGATCCAGCCCCCCTCCTCAGGCAGGTGGGTTTCGGCTGGCCGGCTGGCCCCGCAGGGCACTCCCAACGGTCCTAAACTCTCCCGCCCTCCGCCGTGCCCGCGGAGCGCCCCTCCAGATGCCGGTGCCCACCTGTGCGCGCACGTGCAGCCCCTGCCGAGCGGGTTCCGGGGGTGGGCACGCAGGAAGCCCGGACGCCCGCCCCGCACCCCGCCCCAGCGGGCCGCAGCTGTTTGTTTCCTGGCGTCTGGGAGACGCGACGGGCCCGC